GAGCGTCGACGTTCCCACGCCTCACGAAGATCGATAGGACAACAGAGATACAAGAATAAAGGAACGATTCCCTAGCGAAATTAGCAGTAGGAATTAGTAGAGGACAAATTTCAAGGTCCGGAGCCATCTTTCTTCAGCGAAGTCGCAACTACAAAAGTTAGTAACAGGAAGGAAGACCTACCTCCGCAAACAACAACCATTAGTACTCGACTGTTTTGTTAATCATGTCAATCAGTCATCATTAGTTAATCCCCTTCCTACAAGGAATAAGAGAAAGTGCCAGCCCCAACACACATAGACCGACTTCGCCATAAAAAAGTAGAGAACATCCCAATTCGAGAAAGCCGACAGATTGGACGGCAGAGCAAAGGAGTTATTTCTTAAACGCGTTTCTAACCACTTCAGCTCTCTCCCAATCATATTGCCTGAAAGCGACCATCTCTCAAGGACAATTTGAATGTAGATGGAGGCTACAAAAGCCAACCACATTTGAAGTGAATCCATCCTTGTTCAATACTCCGATATATCACACACCCTCCGCCAGAAGATTAAGTGTGAATTTAGTAGTGAGAGCGGATAGTGCAAATCCCCATCTCATAGGAATTCACATTGCGCGCATCATTCTCACCCTCACTGTCCAAGAACCCAACGCCCAGAACCCGTTATCGCAGAAGCACACGACAACCTGGAACACTAAAGCAGTTAAACAACGTCGAGCGCCGACCACCCCATTGCCCCTCCTGATACAACCACCCACTAAAAGCAAGGAAGAAGCCCAAAACATGCCTCCAATTCCTGTCGCCCACCAGCAAGGATTATTTTACCAATTCCACTCACGCACTAACGCTAACAAGATTTCACTTCTCTCCTCTAGAAATCATAAACTCTAAACTTCAAAATCGCCTTCTTTAATTAACCACAATCGATCATTTTGTCAAATACTATTGGTAACCTGATTTTGTTTTAATTAATTGTTGTTCATTATTTATTGTGAGCTAATAACATTATTGCAATTTTTGGTAACCCGATTATGTATTCATTAATTGTCTTCATTAGTTTTTGTGAGCCAGCAAACTTTTATTGCAACATTGTGTAAGGAGGCATAATGGATATTATTTAATCTGGTATTTTCAAAAGGCCATACATTTCGACGGAAGTGCTGATGACGGCGCTAACTAGAACGAAGAAGCTTGTCTTCTCAAAACGATCCTCAAGAGGGTAGGGTAAACGCTGCCAAAATTTTCCAGCCCCCAAACGAACAAATTGTACGATTGACTTTTCCCACGTAGATACCTACGACACAGAGCTGCACCCCCATAATTCGACCACCCACACAACATCTCAATCTCGTACGCGAAGGCACCCGGGAAGGAGATCATACCGCAGAAACCAACAGACCCCACGAGCACGGGGATTGAGCCTATTCCAGGAGGACAACCACAAAACTAAGCACAACCACCCACGGGAACACAGACACATCCTTCTGAGAGCACACAGAAAGGGTTCCAATCCTCGATCTCCGACCCAATCTCCAAATCCTTAGGCCAAAAAGCAATGGACTTCCTCATCTCAAGCACTCAAATCAAGTCCAAGGTGAACATCATCAAGCAGACAGTCCCATCAGGCGAAGGAGAAGAATAGGTGGAGATATGGGAATATCTGCAAGAGGATGAATCCAACAGTGAGGATGTTTTTAAACCACCAGTACTTGGCCCAGCTATCGGCAGCAGGCCTTCCCCGTTAACGCGCCTGGGCCTGCGGAGGTCGGCCAAGGGGAGGTCTGGTCGTTGCTTCTTGGTCGAGGCCCGCCAACTATTGGATGTCACTGCAATCAGACTCGTTCTCATTCACACTTTTCATGCATGTAAACAGCAGTGCAGCAAACTGGCGACATGCGCCCACTCAAAACTCAGAGATATGGCATCCAGATACGAGTTCACTTTCAACTGGCTATGGCGACTCAGCGCCCAAACAACTCACTGTTCACATGCACCGGATCACCCTAGCTATCCCACACGCATCACTCTGAACACTCGCACATACACACACACACTTCACACTAAACTACAACTATGGCAGCTATGGCTGCCTCTACCCTATCGCTATGCTACGCTCCTTCTCTCTCTCCCACTTCAGCTCCGGGCTCTCTGCAGACCTCCTTGCACAAGTCGCTGTGGCAGCACTTCCGCATGGCTCACGCAGGAATGAATGAAAGGCTGGGCGCTGCCTCTTGATTTATACTTCTGAAACTCGTTGGTCTGCCCTCTTCCATCGGCCCATGGTGCTCACAGTCCCTTGTGGTACTTGCTGGACCGGACTGGGACTGACTGGACCTTACCGCNAAACTCGTTGGTCTGCCCTCTTCCATCGGCCCATGGTGCTCACAGTCCCTTGTGGTACTTGCTGGACCGGACTGGGACTGACTGGACCTTACCGCAGACTGAGTGGGGACTCACTGCTAACCTACCGAGATCGCGCTGCAATTGCACTGCAGTTTAGTCCACCACTTGACTCACCACTTGACCGCTTGCCCACTGGCCGACCTTCTAGAAGGACTACAGCTAAGACTTCTGGAACTCGCTAAGACTTCTATTCTACAGATCTACAGATCAAACCCCAACCACCTACGGACCTATGACAGCCTACCAACTGTTTACGAATACACAGGTCACAGGTTCAACTCTCAGGGTCTACACAGGTACTGTACACAGATAGGGCAAGGTCTAGGGATCGAACCCTGGGATCTGCGTCTGCTACTGGACAGAGGTGAAAACCGTTTCACTCCCGCCGTCCTAAATTCGAGGTCCTCCGAGAATATATCAGTCCAAGGCAGGACCTTTACCCTTCTTATCGCGCTCATAGGCTCTGACTGTGTCGGGAGCTGTTTCTAGTAGTTCTGTTCTAGTGAACCAGCGGTCGTCTTCCGGTTCTTGGTAAGCAAACCGGACCTTATACTGTTTCTGTGGACGACCTCTACCTCCTGTTCTAAACACATCCCCATCTACAATGCCGTCAATGTCATAACTTCCGTCCATATCCGGGGGGATCATGGATCTTCTTGAAGGGAATTGTTGACTTGTGACACACGGCAACAACTTTGAAGCATGGAAAATAGGGTATGTGTGGAGGTGTGCTGGAATCTCGATAGTGTAGGACGGTCCATCCTCTCCGCCCTTGACCTCTAACACTGCCACGGTCCTCTATAGGCAGGCAGCAACTTCTGTGAGATGTGCTCCTCAGGTGCAAACTCTTTAGACTTGACCCAGACTAAGTCGCCTACCTGAAACTGCGATGGGCGACGGTGCTTATTAGCCTGTTCTATCATTCGGTGCTGGGCCTTCCTGAGGTTCTCAACAGCAGTTGCTAGTTCTTTCTCGTGCTGTACTGCGAACTCCCTGGTACCGGGCGGTAGTCTGTGAATCTGATCCCGGTTCAGTCCTTCGAACGGTCTGCGTGGTCTAAAGGACTTGTGCAGCTCATTGGGAGTGCGGAAGGTGGATAGATGCACGTTGTTGTTGTATGCACTAGCTACCTTAGGCAACATCTCATCCCAGTTGAACTAATCAGGTCTAATGTACATGCGCAGAACTTGCTGTAGGATCTTGTTCATCCGTTCTGTCTGACCGTTGGTCTCTGGATGACGGCCAGATGACATTAACAACTTTGACCCGTAAACTATCATGAGTTCTTGCCAGTTTTGGCTGGTGAAACGACTATCTCTATCGCTAACTATGGATAATGGGACTCCGTTCTCACTAACCCATTGATAAAAAAACTTATGAATAACTAATTTTGTGCGTGCCTCTGCAGGCGAAGGAACAAAAACGACATACTTGCTAAAATGGTCATAGTCTATGGACACTGAGTCTCCAGGTTGATCAGGAATAGGCAGTGGTCTGAGAAGACCCAGGGGCGCGCGTGTAGTAGTCTTATTCCTCTGGCACACTTTACAACTGCGAACATACTCTATGCAATCATTCTTCATCCCTGGCCAGGTGTACGCACACATCAGATTGGCTAATGTCTTCTGCCAACTGAAATGTCCCTCTGTGTCATGGCATTCCCCTAGGATCAGACTGTGGATTTTCTCACTATTGGGAACGCATAGGCGGTTGAATACATCCGTCTTCTCAAACAGCAATCCCTCTGTAGTGCGGTAGTGTGGTTCGGTCTCTGGGGCCTCCTTAACTCTCTTGAGGAGGTCACTATAGATAGGGTCCTGCGCATACGCTTGCCTTACTTTCTCCTGCAGGTCTCTCCCTATATCCAGATAGTGTACTATGGCTCCAAAGTAGTCTGATCTCCTACTCAGAGCATCCGCAACTACATTGTACTTGCCCTTCACTGGCTTAAGCTCAAAGTCATACTGGTCTATCTCTGACCGGCGTTGACCAAGGCGTTGACCAAGATTTTGACCAAGCTGGAGCCGGTAAAATCTCACCAAGCCTTCAGCCTATCCCTCGCCCTATGGATGTGCACACACCCTGTGGTACTTGCTGAGTCCAGTCTGTCTGTCGCTTCTTTCTGCATCGAGTCTCTTCTGTCCTAGGTGATAGTACTCTGTGGATGAAGGATAGGGCCTTGTTGACCAAACCCACACGGGCTGGGCTAAAGACTGTGTCTGACGACTCGACTGTCCCGGAGGACACGAACCCTCCCAAGGACCGGTACTGACCGGCGGGCTGCTCGGTGTGGCACGGTAGGCCCAAATTCCGAGCTGTGGGCTGCACAACAGGCCATCTAAGTGTTGAGAGACTTGCTGATCACATCGTCCTGTCTGCGACGTTAAATAATTCCTGAGGAGTTACGGGGGATCTCCTTAAATGCCTCCTGATCAGCAACAGGCCTAGTAGTGACAGCCATAGTATAGGTTTAGGCTAGAGACCCTAGTTGGCAGGATCCCTGTGAGGATTCTGTGAGTCCTTAGATTGAGTCACTAGGTTTGTCAGTCAGGGGTTAGAGTCTACGTAGTGAGGTTTGGAACCGTAATCCGGTTGTGCACTTGTCACCATGGTGGAGACCCGTAGTGGGACGAGCACTAGCCCCTACACCCAGGAGCAACAGGAGAAGATGGCCGCCTTAGTGAGAGAAAACAAAGAGAGGAAAGAGCTCCAAAAACGGGCGAAGCTAAAGGCTATTGCAGAGGAGCAGGCGACAAAGATGAAGAAAATGGAGGAGGAGATTAAGAGAGTTCAACAGGAGGAGGAAGAGAGGAGAAAGGCTGCCGAAGAGGAAGCAGCAGCAGAAGAAGCAAAAGAGGATGCGTATTGAGAGTAGAGAGGGGAGCAGTGGCACGAAAAAGGATGAAGACACAGAGATGGAGAAAAAGATCAGCGAGTGGGTTGCTAATTTATCATTGGGGGAAGACGAGGAGGCAGAGTCGTATGTGCCACAGGATGAGAAAGATGCGTTAGCCAAGGAGCTAATGGCAATGGAGGACCCCATGGAACGGCGAGAAAGAGAAGAGGAGCAGAAGTTGGAATGGAAATTGAGAATGACGAGGGAGAAGAAGAGGAGGGAGGAAGTCAATAGGCTGACCGTAGAGGTGGCAAAGGTGAAGGACTGTAGGCAAGAAGTGGAGGCCCAGGCAGACGACTCGGCCAAATGGGATAAGGTGCTGGGATACTTGGAGGTGTTGAGCGCGGCTTGGATGGAGGAGCGCCAAGCTAGTTGGAGTCAAGAGGTAGCCTTGAGTGCCATGCAGCCGGGGTTTAGGGACTTTGCGCGCGATATGGTTACCCACGTTGGGGAAGAAGTTCGGAGGTTGAGAGACAACGTGGGGAAGTTTTGTGAGGGCGCTATTGAGGGCGCCAAAGCGATAGCCGCTGTAGAGGGCGAGGCCAGACTCCGCAAGGACCCGGTCAAGCTTAAGTTTCCAGATGTGTACGGGGGAAAAAAGGAGGAGAACTTTGACAACTAGGAGGCCAGTGTCAATAGTTACGTGTATCTACAGCACATCCTGATAGAGAAACAAGTCCTCGTGGCCTTCCAGGCCCTTAAGGATGAGGCGACTAGTTTTGCCAGGTCCCTTGCGCGCGCGGCCGGTTGTGAGAACAACCTGGTTGCCTACTCTAAAGTCACCCCCCTTCCTCGATTCTTCAAGCTCCTGAGGGAGCGATTTGCGGATCCAACGAGAGGCGTCAAGGCCTCTGACAAGTTACAGACGATCCACTCGCGACAGTGGAGGAGTGCGAGAGCACTCAAGGGCGTTATGGACGACTTGGTAGCCGTCCCAGACCATGGGGTTACAGAGCCCCAATTGGTTCAATTGTTTTATCGCGCCATGCTAGAGGCCCTGCGTGGGCACTTCTTTGACTAGTCTCAAGAGACCGGCATCACTTATGATGCGTTGAGTAGGGAAGTGGTCATGTATGAGTCAAAAGTCCATGCCACTTACCACTTTCTGGCATAAGGACCTGGACAAGGGGAAGAAGTGGAAGGGCCGTACCATCTCAGGCCAAGTAAGGGCCAAGGATCATATGATCCTTACTTTAGAGGAAGGTGGTACAGATGAGGTCCCGTACAGCTAGATCGAATGGGGCCTTGAGGAAGAGGACAATAGCGTGGGGCAGGGGAGGTCCTATGCTGTTGTCGCGGCTGGAGGAAGGCCGCAAAGTAGAGGAGGAGGCCAGGGCCAAAGCGGTCAGGCCATGGGAAGCCGAGGACCAGGCGCACAGGGGGTTGGCGGACGAGGGAACCGCCAAGTGGGAGGTAGGGGTCAAGGTCCCCCGCCAAATCGCCAGGGTTCTTGTCGGTCCCCACAGCGACGAGGTGGAAGGGCACCTCAAGGAGGATGGCACACAGGCTTGCCACAGGGCAGGCCTTGGGAAGATTTGGGCTTGGACCAACGTTTATGGCAGGAACGCGTGGACTTGGGTCAGTGCGTGTTTTATGGTGACCCGACCCACGTTATCAAATTTTGTCCTAAGTATAGACAGGCCCGTTGGGCTGCCCAGCAGTCAAAAGGCAGCCGGCAGTAGGGGTTGCAACTGCCCCTACTTCAGGGCCATGTGGAGAAGCGAGCGTGCGCGAACAGGAAATTCTCAAACCACATGAGCCTATGGCAGAGGTTGCAGGCCCGTGCCTAGCTAGCTGTCCAGAGACTGCTTGTGTTAACGTCTCTCTAGGCACGTCCCTCACAGGTGTGGCAGAAGAGTTGAAGGAGAGGATGCCAGTCTGGGCCAAAATGAAGGAGGAGAGTAAGGGACAGCTGATCTTGGTAGATGTAGAAGTGTTCAGAAGCAGAGTAGGGGCCCTTATAGATTCACGGGCCACCCGCAGTTATGTTAGCCGTAGGGCGCTGAAGAAGCTGAGGCTAGGATTGAAAGTCCAAAAGTTAGCAGACCCTATAGTCAGTGTCCGCGCAGACAACCGCACGATGCGAGTTGAGGACTACGTAGAGGGAGTCTGGGAGTACTTCCGCCTAGAGAAGGATGGGAAGGTGGAGAAAGTTCTCCATTCCCTGACTCTCCTCGTACAGGATGACCTGCCTTTCGACATAGTGTTAGGAATGGATTGGGGAGAGGCAGCAGAGGCCACACTCCACTTGAGAGAGCATGAGTGTAGGCTCCCGAGTCCGTCAGACGAGGTTAAGACTGCCCGCCTGTTTCATGTGTCAGGTGTAGACAACACCTTGGCACATTGCTGTCTCAGTGCTCCCACGTTCGCGCGGTTAGTGAAGAAGGAGCGATTAGAGGAACAAATCTTTGTAGTTTACGTTAGACTTGTGACTGAGGCTAAGGAAAAGGTGACTTCCATAGATCCAACAATTGCCAAGCTGCTGGAAGAGTTCAAAGATTTGACCGAGTCGCCGACAGGAGTAGTGCCACGACCCATCCAGCACAGGATAGAGATAGAGCCTGGCAGTAGAACTCCTAAGGGAGCAGTCTACAGGATGTCCCCTAGAGAGTTAGAGGAGTTACGCAAGCAGTTAGATGAACTCCTCGAGAAAGGTTGGATCAGGCCCAGTTCGTCTCCTTTTGGAGCACCGGTTCTGTTTGTCCCCAAGAAGGAAGGAGAGCTTCGTATGTGTATAGACTACAGGGGTTTGAATGCGATTACTGTAAAGAATGCTGAGCCACTGCCTAGGATAGACGATCTCTTAGATCGGGTGCAGGGTTGCAAGTATTTCTTTAAGATAGACTTGAAGTCCGGATACCATTAGATAGAGGTCCATCCTGATGACCAGTACAAGACTGCATTTTGGACTAGATATGGGCACTATGAGTTTATAGTGATGCCCTTTGGACTGACTAACGCGCCAGCGACGTTTCAGCGATGTATGAACGATCTGTTTAGGCCGTGGTTAGACAAGTTTGTAGTAGTTTATTTAGATGATATCTTAGTTTTCAGTAATGACCCTCCAGGAGCATCAGGGTCATCTAAGGCAGGTCTTGGAGAAGCTAAGAGAGGCTAGCTTCAAGATCAACCCGAAGAAGTGCGAGTGGGCCAAGACACGAGTCCTATACTTGGGCCACGTATTAGATGGGGATGGCATTAAGCCAGAGGACAGCAAGATAGCGGCAAATCGAGACTGGCCGACTCCCCGCACATTGACAGAGTTGCGATCGTTTTTAGGCCTAGCCAACTACTATAGGAAGTTCGTGAGGAACTTCTCTACCATCGCCGCTCCCTTGCGCAGGTTGCTAAAGAAAGAGGCAATCTGGCAATGGGATAAAGACTACGTCTGCGCTAAAGAGATTAAAGCGCGCGTTAATAGAGTATCCTGTCCTCAAGGTAGCTGATCCGTCCTTGCCATTTGTCATCACCACGGACGCGAGTCAATATGGTATAGGCGTCGTGTTGCAGCAAGACGACGGCAATGGCTATAGATCCGTAGAGTTCATGTCAGCGAGGATGCCCTCAGAGAAGGTAGCCACCTCGACGTATGAGAGAGAACTCTACGCTCTCAGGCAGGCTCTAGAGCATTGGAAGCATTACCTGCTTGGGCTGCGGTCAACCCCCGATCAACGCCGGTCAACACCTCCGGTCAACTCTCTCGATCAACCCTTCGGCCAGCTATGGCTCCCGGGTTCTTTTTCCCTCACCAACCTCCTTCTTTGCTTCACCTTCCTCGCCTCCTTTCACCCTGCTGTCTCCTTTTTTTTTTTTTTTTTTTTTTTTTTTTTTTTTTTTTTTTTTTTTCCGTTCACCTCTTCTTCTTCCTCCCCTCGGCTATGGATTCTCTCCCCCTCTGTCCTTTCTCACCCTCCTTCGTTACTCTGTGGTGACGCTTCGCGACAATGGCCGCTATCTTCTTCTTCGTGGGTCTGCACGGCACACTTCACAGGTACGTAACAGCCAAACTTGTATCGCTCACCCTGCTATCTTTCACCCTGCTGTCTCCTTTCTCCTTTTTTTTTTTTTTTTTTCCGTTCACCTCTTCTTCTTCCTCCCCTCGGCTATGGCTTCTCTCCCCCTCTGTCCTTTCTCACCCTCCTTCGTTACTCCGTGGTGACGCTTCGCGGCTATGGCCGCTATCTTCTTCTTCGTGGGTCTGCACGGCACACTTCACAGGTACGTAACAGCCAAACTTGTATCGCTCATCTCTCTCTCTCTCTCTCTCTCTCTCTCTCTCTCTCTCTCTCTCTCTCTCT